TCCTAATCTCAGCTCGTTACCTGTATAAAAAAGACACCTGGGAGCCAGAAATCTTTCTGATTGAGAGGGGTCAAATACTTATTATAACATTTTTTGACATGCGTTTTTCTGGATTTTTTTGTTGTTATTCTGTCTCTCACTGTTCAAATAAACCTACCATTAAAATTATAGACTGATCATTTCTTTGTCAGTGGGAAAACGTACAAAATCAGCAGGGGATCAAATACTTTTTTCCCTCACTGTATATCTAATAAGCGTCCGGATTAGTGTCCTGCTCCTTAAAAGCAGCAGCTCTAGCCTTTAGCTCAGTGCGAATGTTGCCCGTAATCCATGGCTTCTGGTTGGAATATGTACGTATGGTCACTGTGGGGACAGCGTCATCGATGCACTTATTAATGAAGCCAGTGACTGATATGGTAAACTCCCCAATGCCGTCGGATGAATGCCGGAACATATTCCAGTCTGTGCTAGCGAAACAGTCCTGTAGCTTAGCATCCGCTTCATCGGACCACTTCCGTATTGAGCACGTCACTGGTACTTCCTGTTTGAGTTTTTGCTTGTCAACAGGAAGTAGGAGGATATAATTATGGTCCGACTTGCCAAATGAGGGCGAGGGAGAGCATTTTATGGGTCTTTGTGTGTGGAGTAAATGAGATCTAAAGTTTTGATCCCTCTAGTTGCACAGGTGACATGCTGGTAGAAATTAGGTAAAAATCGATTTCTGTTTTCCTGCATTAAAATCACCGGCCACTAGGAACGCCGCCTCTGGATGATCATTTTCTTGTTTGCTTATGGCCCTATACAGCTTGTTGAATACGGTCTTAGTGCCAGTATCGGCTTGTGGTGGTAAATAGACAGCTACAAAAAATACAGATGAAAACTCTCTTGGTAAATAGTATGGTCTACAGCTTATCATGAGGTACTCTAACTCAGCGAGGAAAACCTTGAGGCTTCCTAAATATCAGAGATTGCTGTTAATAAAGAGACACACCCCTGATCTTACTGGACTCTGCCATTCTGTCCTGCCGACGCATAGAAAAAGCAGATCGCTTTATATTATCCATGTCCTTGTTCAGCCGTGACTCCGAGAAGCATAGTCTATTACAGTTCTTAATGTCCCGTTGATAGGATAGTCTTGAACGGAGCTCGTCCAATTTATTCTCCAACGATTGCACATTCGCCAATAGAACAGAGGGTAGAGGCGATTTATTCATTCGCCGACGTAGTCTCACGCGCCGGCTTATTTAGCGCAGTCTTCGCCTTCTACGAGCGTCGGGGACTAGGGCCAGGTCCGGGATAATCAATATGTCTTTCGCCTCCAACTCATTGAAGTAGAAGTCCTCGTCTAAATCGAGGTTAGTGATAGCTATTCTGATGATCCAGAAGCTATTTTCTGTCATAGAATTGATGGCGGAAACATTATGTACAAAGGAAGTTAGGATCAGCTTAACAAAACACACAAAATAGCACAATTGGTCAGGAGCCCATAAAACGGCCGCCATTCCACCTTTATTATGACATTTCCAAATGTTAGTAAACTCTCCAACCTTCAAAAGACATTACAGTCAGAGGTGTCAGTCAGTCACTCATCAAAAAACATCTGCCAGGAGAGAGGGGGGGTGGAGGCATGACAGTACAGGTGAGTCACTTTCAGAAGCACTATTATGAAAGCGCACCTCCCACCCACCTAAAAGAAGCAGTGAGAAACCTTCCCTTTCAAACCGAGTGAGAGAGAGGCATCCTGAAAGGGCCTTGCATTCCTTCCACCTGTGAGCGCCCATACCACACAAAGGAGCCCCCGCCAGACGAAAGACATCAAAGCTCCCACAGAGCAACTGTTCAAAGTTACATATAAGTCTCCCTGTGGGCCAGACTAAAAGGAGAGTGTGCAAGGGGGTTAGTTATGTATAGGGATTAGTGTGACGGGAGTCCAAAAACATGCGTTTTCTAAAGCTTGTTGTCTTTGTACAGTTACTCATGGCTTTACCGGTGTACAACCTGCCTACTGGTATTAACAAGGTGAAAACGTGAGGGGTTAAAAACCTGACAGCACAAAGGGGCTTGCTAGCCGCAGTTGCTAAAGACATACAAAGTGTATGTTATGTTTCCATTGCAATAGTTTAGGTCACTTATGATGCAGTTACTCCGGTAGCAATGAAGTGACGATAAAATTCAATCAACAGGATTACTTGTCTTTTAATGAGGGTTTCCAAATTGACTAAACAGCAGATTACAGTTTCCAGTCAACAGTTATCTGACTGACTACATTGTTACCAGGGTTACTGGTTGTTTACTGAGAGAATGAATCATGTTTGGAGACAGGTACGCATCTCATCACTCATTTTCCCCATATCATGCATAAAGAAAAATCTACTCAGGGTCATTGAATTTGAATACCTGATATTAGTTGAATGTCTGGTTGAACATCTACAGTTGAAGTCGAAAGTTTACATAGACTTAGGTTGGAGTCATTAAAACTCGTTTTTCAACAACTCCACAAATTTCTTGTTAACAATCTATAGTTTTGGCAAGTTGGTTAGGACATCTACTTTGTGCATGACACAAGTCATTTTTCCAACAATTGTTTACAGACAGATTATTTCACGTATAATTCACTGTATCACAATTCCAGTGGGTCAGAAGTTTACATACACTAAGTTGACTGTGCCTTTAAACAGCTTGGAAAATTCTAGAAAATGATGTCATGGCTTTAGAAGCTTCTGATAGGCTAAATGATGTAATTTGAGTCAATTGGAGGTGTACCTGTGGATGTTTTTCAAGGCCTACGTTCAAACTCAGTGACTCTTTGCTTGACATCATGGGAAAATCAAAATAAATCAGCCAAGACCTCAGAAAAAAATTTGTAGACCCCCACAAGTCTGGCTCATCCTTGGGAGCAAATCCATTACATTACTGAGTACCACTCTCCATATTTTCAAGCATAGTGGGGAGTTTTTCAGGATAAAAAAAGAAACTGAATGGAGCTTAGCACAGGCAAAATCCTAGAGGAAAGCCTGGTTCCGTCTGCTTTCCACTAGACACTGGGAGATTAATTCACCTTTCAGCAGGACAATAACCTAAAACAAGGCCAAATCTACATTGGAGTTGCTTACCAAGAAGACAGTGAATGTTCTGGAGTGGCAGTTTCAGTTTGGACTTAAATCTACTTGAAAATCTATAGCAAGACCTGAAAATGGTTGTCTTGCAATGATCAACAACCAATTTGACAGAGCTTGAAGAATTTTGAAAACAATAATGGGCAAATGTTGCACAATCCAGGTGTGGAAAGCTCTTAGAGACTTACCCAGAAAGACCCACAGCTGTAATCGCCGCCAAAGGTGCTTCTACAAAGTATTAACTCAGGGGTGTGAATAGTTTTGTATTTAACTTTAATAAAATGTGCAAAAATGTCTAGAAACCTGTTGTTTTCACTTTGTCGTTATGGGGTAGTGTGTGTAGATCGGTGACAAAACAAATTAATGTAATCCATTTTCAATTCAGGCTGTAAAACAACAAAATGTGGAAAAAGTCAAGGGGTATGAATAATTTCTGAAGGCACTGTACATTTGCGGCAATGTAAAAGTGTTTACCAACACATTTAGTTTGTGAGTTACAATGAGCTGCATGAGGCAAGTTTGACCCGAAATAGTGAGTTGGTGTGACTATGAGTTAAGTGCAAATGTGCGTGCATGCATCACAACTACAGTGCCATCATGGAAGACAGAGGACTTTTGACCAGTGATTTATTTCATGAGAGAAATAATTCCTTCCCCTGCAGATCAAAGGCTGATCTGTGAGGAGCCATAGATCAGATAAATGTTTTCCATGTCCGCCATTTCCACTGTCCCGCTACTTACCAGCTGACAGTCCAGTCAAATCTGCCCAATTCAAAAGCTAAGGCACCATCGAGCAGCCCTCTTTTACTCTCTCACTTACTCTTACGGCCTCTCCCTTACCCTCATTTTACCCCCTCTTTCTCACTTTTCCTCCTCCTAACCCCTCTCATCTCTCCAGAGTCTTTTATTTTGACAAATGTCACCCAGTAAAAATTCCTGCTGGCCGATGGTCCCTGAAAGTCACACAGCTGCGCTGGATAGGAAGCGGGTTCCCCAGACACTGGGTTGCCGGATTTACCAGAATAATCCCTTCTGAAAATTAGCAGACCCCTATAGGGAGAAACTCAACACGGCCAAAATTGAACGCTCGACCGGCAAGTTCAACAGCAGACACCATTTTTGCTCCATCTGGAGAGACTTCGCAAATGTCCATGAATTTAGCATACCCTACCCTGACTGTGGTAGAGTAACTGCAGACTGGCGAGAGTGCTTGTGCAAGCACTTTCAGTGATACGGGATTGTCTGCCGTCCTCCCTGGCAGAGATAAGCAAAAGCCCATTCAGTCAGCCAGACCCTCAGATTAAGAGGCCAATTCGCAGATTGTCACTCAAGCGTGGCAGTCAGTGGTTCGTCAAAAGAAAGGACAAAGGTCCTTAAATGGGAAAATTGTGTTTTATTTCTCACCAGGGTAGAATGAAAATGGGAAAATTGTTTTATTTCTCACCAGAGCAGAATGAAAAGCGGAGAGAACATTTTTCAGATTGGTTTCTCTATAAACCAATTTAAACCCTGTTTTTCATATTCATGAGAAAATGGGAAAGTATTGTGAGAACCCATAACCCCATCTACTGCATGTCACAGGACGAGCAAAATACTGCAACAGAAGATATACACGTATAGTGTCTGTTTATGACCATAATGGCTTTTATAAAACACCGCTAGTCACTCAGTGCCACAGAAATCACTCAAACTATCCAAAACATCCAGTGGGATTCACGTTTATGTGGTTGCCTCAATGTTATGACAGATGGAGAAGCAATGAAAGAGACCTAGAAGGAGGTGGGACTGGACATTTTGCAGAAGAATGCATACTCTTTCAGGGCAGTGGAAGTGCACCCAACCACTAACTAACATGATCAACTAACTTTTTCTTAGCGGTCCAAATTAATAAAAGGTAAAAGTCAGCCTTGACGTATGCCTCACCAGTTTCTCTTTGAAGACCATTTGTCTGAGCCACTTGAAGTCCAGCGGTTTGAAGGCGGAGAAAACGAATAGCGAGTCCTTCTCGTAACGCTCAGGCTTCTGGATGGCCCCCTCGGGGTAGGTGATACGCATGGTGGTCTTGGTGCCCACGTCCTTGCCGAAACCAGTCACCGGAGCCTCGTTCAACCTGCGGTTAGAGAAGAAATGCTATGGGGCGAATACGTTGTGTGTTGACATGACAACATGACTGGGGACTTTTCATAGCCTGGGTGCCAGCCGCAGATAATCAAACTAACCCCAAGTCCATTAACATCTAACCAGTGCTAGAGTAATTAGCTGAACTATCATCTTTACCCTCTTAACTGGCATCATGTTGCCCTTCCATTGGAAGTACTCACCTCACCACAACGTCGTAATCATCTATGCGCGAGCCCAAAGACTTGTTGGCCAAGATACCACCATTGCCCACGATAATGCATCTTTTACAACCTAGACTGGAAGAGAAGAACATCTGAGGGTTTATAAAGTGTGTCCGCACGCAAGTGGATTACTTAATTCCCATGGCAATTACCTGTCAAGGTCTTCACCCAAGCCATAGTTTTTTGTGGCAGTTAGAATACTGTCTATGATTCTTTCTGCAAATTGAAACGGGAAAGAAAAAAATATAGTTTAGATACCAACTACAGTTCATTGTTATTGCTAGATCACAGACAAAACCCCTCATGAAAAGGATTAATAGCTCCTCTTTAATAAAATGTTGAGGACTTCAACACCCAGAAAACAATGTAGCAGGCTAGGTGGTCCTTGGGAGAAGCGGAGGTCTGGAGGAGAGAACATCCCTAACCGTTTATTCAATTACAGATAAGGATAAGCTACGGGCCCGGTGACAGTAACATTGGAAAACCGTCAGCCCTTTCAGGATGGATGAATCCGGGTGAAACGGCAATTCAGAAAAAACGCTGCCCATACAACCACTCAGTGAGGAATGCTGTATTCAAACAAGCACATTCTCCCGGTTGAAGTGTGCTGTGCTCGCTCAGTGTGGACGCGGAGCTGGGTCTGGTGGTGTGAGATACGGGGCTGTTTAGCCATAGCGTGCATTCCTGCCATGTTCCAGAGGGTATTCTGGCAGAGTCATATTTGTCTTTGCCCCCATAGCCCACTAGCACCTCTTGACTCTTTCCTTCTCATATTAGTCATAGGTCTACCATAAATTATTGGGAGATTTATATCTAGGTTTTGTGTCCAATTTATCCAACAAGGTAATATCCAAATGAATCACTCACTTGTATAATCACATTTCAGTTGCTTGCTGGGTTCATTTGTTAAACAACTGATATGAAATGTCATTAGGCTCACCACAACCCCATGTAGGCGTCTACATTGCCTCTTGCTAGAGTAATGCAGTAGGCCTACAGATTTATCCCCTCTAACGATCCTTATGATTAAAAAGCAGAAAATGAGCAGTGGCCCATTGTTTGGACACGGTGTCGAAGTCTGGCATCAAGCATCACCCCGGGCAGCATAAACAGAGGCCCAGACCACACCCGACTCAAGGGGGTGAAATCAAAATCGGGACATGTTTCTCGAAGAGGAGACATGGCGGCTAATTGTTATTAGCACCCAGGATAAACACTTCAGCCAAGTATGTCTAGGCGGCAGCTCAGACAAATGGCCAACGTCTTGACGTACATGAAGAAATATATACAAATATACAATTCTTGTTGAATCATTTGGGATTGCCAAAGAGCATAACTGTACCCAGGCCAGAAATATCTCAACATTATAATAAAGCTATCTATTCTAGGTGCGTTTTAAAAAAGAGAATATTATGGTCTGCTCAGTTGGTCTAGGCAATCCAAAAGCTTAGCCAATGTATAGCTTCAGGTGTCAAAAAGGTCTGTGTGAAAAAACTGGCCCCCCATGCTTGCTTACAGTATGATGGAGTGGCTAGAAACCATATGAAGAATGGAGGTTTCCCCTGTGTTTCTAAGTCTAGCGAACAAGGCTGTTTGAGGTAAACCTCAGACTGCTTGGCCGCAAAAAAAAAGTACAAATAAACTTTTATTTTCATGCTTTCTATTTTTTTGTTTGTTCCTAATTTGGAATCCTTTGTGGAGTTCTATTCAAGGTCCACACGTATCACCTCTCCACATGAATACAGCTAAAAGGGAAACCCCACTGCAGTCACCAACCGTGGAGAAAACAGAAACCAGGTGTAGTGCACTCGCCTTTGAAAACCAGCGTGTGAGTGTGTTTGTGTGGGGTAGAGGGCCCTTGCCAGAGCACAAAGGTAACATTCAGTGTACCTTTACGTGCACTTCACTCATAAGTATTGGAAATTGTGTGATAAAGGGTAGCCTGAATGCATGCTCTATCTTATCTTCCCAATTCCGATCGCATGATGTGCTCATGTTTGATTCGTAAAATGCATAGATTCTTGACGGTCTCGTCGCGGTCAGTGAGCTACCTAAACCCGTATTGAGATATGACTAGGGCTGTGACGGTCATGGAATTTTGGATGATGGTAATTGGCCAGCCAAACGACTGCAGTCACGGTAATGTAATGTAAATGTAATTTTAATAAAAAAACATTGATATACATTTTTTGGGGTACATTTTCTCCCCCTCTCCTGACCGCATGTGCTGACATAGAAATATAATTAATTGACTAGAACGGGCTAATGCATAGACAACGGCAGAGTAATGTCTTAAGTGTAAAACGAATAATGACTCAATAATCCATGCTTTCTGGGAATGCTATCCATGCTTTCTGGGAATGCTATCCATGCTTTCTGGGAATGATATCCATGCTTTCTGGGAATGCTATCCATGCTTTCTGGGAATGCTATCCATGCTTTCTGGGAATGCCATCCATGCTTTCTGGGAATGCTATCCATGCTTTCTGGGAATGCCATCCATGCTTTCTGGGAATGCCATCCATGCTTTCTGGGAATGCTATAAAGTCCGGAAGTTCTGGGCGGCGCTAGAAAGTTGGCTGTCAGAAGTATTACAATGTAAACGTACTTTTAAACCGTCTGTCTGCATATTTCAAGACATGGCATATGGGGGTGTAGTGAGATACCTGATAGGTTTGACAATTCTCTTCATGTTTAAAAAAATGTATACTAAAACCATGGAAATTAACCCGCCATCATTAACACAATGGAAAAATCGAAATGATTAATTCTTTAAATATTGAAAGTGTGTGGGCTACGGAGAGAAACAAAATGGTGCAGTTTCAGGCCATGTGGCGGAAAGTGATGCGGGCGCTGGTGATGGGGGTGAGTGCTAGTGGGTCTGGGCAGGTGTGATGTAGTTGATGTTTGTATGAGGTTGTCGTTTGTATGTTTTGCATTGTTTATAAAAGAAAATGAAATCTTACAAAAAATAAATAAATAGAACGGGCGTCCCCATTCAAGTCAATGATTGCATAATGGGTGGACTGGCGACCATTGCGAGTGTACCCATAGGAGCAAAGCTAGGTTGAAGATGACAAAGGTTAAGACAACGGGATTCTAATATCCCATAACTCTTTGCAACAATGGGACTAGCTATGCTAGTTAGCAACGGCGCTGGTCCCAGATTTGTGACGACGTTGTCTTAACCTGTATATGTTCGATCTAGGAGCAAAGCAGGAAGTAAAATAAGTGCTGTGATTTGTTGATTCAACTCAACTGGCATTACAAAAAAATACATTCATTGCATGAGCCACATCAGTTAACATCATTTGAATGAACATTCTACATTTCCATGGAAATTATTGCATCACAATACCAGGCAGCCATTGGGATTGTACCCATGAGTTTACCAGTCAAATTGCCAGGGTTAGAGGTTCCAAGAATGTTCTATCCGCTCTATTTCTATGTGTGCTGCTCCTGCATTTTGGTCATTCAGTCAGCTGTTCGTTATTTATTTTTTATGGTTATGACGGTTTTCATCCATAACAGTCGGTTATTGTGCCAGCCCTACTGCTTCACAATCGAGGAAAGAATGAAGACTGAAACTGAAGTGTTGTCTCACTGTCTAGATGTTGCCGTAGCAAGAAACGTCCTGTAATATTCAAGCATCCTATTCTCACCCTCTACCCTTCACCCCAACCCAGGCAATTGCACGGTCAGTGGCAGTGTGTGTAACCATCAGAGAGCATGACAGGAGCAGAGTGAGATCAACCCAAGTAGGCCAGGAGGGATGTTCTGCCAGCTCTATCACCAAGCATGAAGATGCGCCAACTGGCGCGTGGCGATAAGGATGGTAGATCCCTGGCACCATCTCCTCTTTAGCTTACCTATCCAGCCCAAACCATCATCTATACACAGTTCCAAAACCACCATGACAAGTTAATGACACATCCATTGCCATCAATGAGATACATGGATGAGGGAACAATCAAATCTGTCCGATGTCAGACGTACAATTAGTCTTACCTTGTGTTTTGAATCCAAATGGAGGTAAGTAATTGCGGACTTTGGCCAGCCGCTTGAAGTTCCGGTCGAGAAACATGGGAGCTGGCTTCATGAACCTGTGAGAAGAACAGTAGAGAGAAGAACAGGAGCGATTACCGTAAAACTTCAATAAATAGCCTGGCGTTTCAATCGCTGAAGAAAAACTGTGCTTATTAGAGACAGGCTCCTATTTGAGCCAAGCGTCTATTTACTTAACGCACACAGCTTTTGCTCAATAACATGTTGAAAAGACCATCACACTGTGACCAGTATGACCAGTACAAACATTATAGTAACAAATCCATCGCAGATCAGTCGTGCAAAGACTAGGCTGCCTATCATACACCCCCGATTTCACCCTTCAGCGTCATGGAGAGCATGAATTGGTGTGACGCAATGGCTAGCAACAATGACAGAATAAAAAATTTAAAAAGTAATGCACATGACCGCGGGATTATCAGAGCAGTGTCCATGGTAACCTCGTAAACAATTATTTTAAACACTGCGTTTATTTGAAAACGTGTTTATTTGCTGAAATGTGTGCCCGGCTATTAAAAGGGACAGGCGGCCTTTTGAGACTGCATTTAATAGAAGTTTTAAATAATATAAATTTGTAAAACAGTTTGTCTGTCCACCCATGAGAAGTCCAGCATGACTCAAGTTAACCAAAATCAGCCTACTGTGTTGCGATGCCCTCTCATTTCTAGATGCATTTCTAGCCCTTTCCTGCATCAGATAATATGCAGTGAGAGATTCACCGCAGATAGATTGCGGTGTTCCTCGAGTTGAATTGAGACTTGTCAATGAGCAACAGTTTACCTGATAACCCAATGCACAGGTGAGTGAGTGATCAAGCACAGTATGTGGGTCTGGGCGTACACCACCCCGATGTCTCTCTGGACTCTAACTTAGAAGCTGACAGTTTCTTTCTAAAAGTGTTTATTTTCCCATTTCTGCCTCCCTAAGAAGGCCATGGCCCCCACTTATCTCTACCGTGACCCTGGGGCTCTGGGGTTAATTCCCCGCCAAGAGTTAAAGACACTGGGCCGTAAAAGGAGACGCTTGT